TCCCTCCCCCCTTTTCTCTCTCTCCCCCTCTAACTCTGTCTCTCTCTCTCTACCTCCTCTTCTCCCTTCCTCCCTTCCACCCGCCCTTCCTTCCTATCTAGGGCTCGTTGTCTGACGCCACAACGGGCTTTGCTTACTAGTATATTCAATAAAACTCACAATATATGAAAGTATCTTAATATAAATGCCTAACACAACAATGATGATGACTATTACTGTTTAGCATGTATTTAGCTCAAAGTTAAGACCTTGAACACACTTCCCATGAGACTCTGGCTTTGGTGAATCTTGAATGGGAAGGAGTTCCATGACAGTCGAGAAGCCTCTCAGAATGCCATTCTGTGCTTCTACACCATGTACAGATACAGAGAGAACACATTCTATTTATGGAGGTTGCACAGAGAATTCTAGAGATTTCAGTGTGAGACAAGAGAAGGGAAATGCTGAGTTGGGCATTGGCTGCAATTTTTCAGCAGTCCTACAATGTTCAGCAGCCTCAAGTTTATAAAGGTATGTGTTAGATATCAGACTCGAGGCAGCCAGTGAACAGTGATAACAGCTTTATTGAACAGAAGTAGGGTTGCCAAGTCTTATTTACTCACCAGCGGGGGGAGCGTCTGCTTGCTCCGGGAGCTGGCTGTGGACGTGTGCGCGCGTCACCAGAACATCACCGGAAGTGACACACGATGTAGGGCACGTTGGGGGCGTGGCCCAGATCATTGGGGGGAAAACCATATGGTTCCCCCCGACTATCTGGGCCTCGCCCCCAACGTGCCCTACGTCGTGCGTCACCTCTGGTGACGCAGCTTCATCAGACTCAAGCTCAATACATACAAACATTCCATTCCATACATAACAGTATGAATAATAGCTACCAGATCAGAATCTGAAAGAAGGCTCACAAGCTCCTGGGCAGATTGGACTACTGAAAATGGCTACCACTGGAGCTTAGATTCTTCATTCACGACTGCTATTACCTTCACTGTTTTCTAGTTGCTATTAGTTTCCTGTCATGTTTTAAGTAGGAAAAAAAATTCAGTTTCTTTATTCATATAGATGTGAATTTTTGAATATGTATTGTTTTAGGGCTGCCAAGTGGGGGCGGGTGGCGGGTAAACCCCTGCTTTGGAGGCCCGATTTCCGCCACCGCAGAATTGGGCCCCGGGGGGAACCCACCCCCCGAAGCGCAGCGTGGGTGTGTCACAGGAAGTGACCCAACCACGTAGATCACGTTGGGGGTGTGGCCCCAGTCGTTGGAGGGAAAACTCTATGGTTTTCCCTCCAATGCTTGGG